GCCTGCAAGCAAACTCATCTTTCAAACCAAGCACTGAGCACAGAACATCTTCTGGGGTGATATCCAAGTCAAAGAGATCATTTATCTCAGGATGGTTTAGATTGGAAATGGCACTTTCTATACTACTCAAAGCATTATCAAGATTAAATTCATACACATACTCAATTGTTATTTCTTGCTTAAAGCCACAAAAATTGTTGTAGATCAGATTTATTTCATCGAGAAGCTTGGTTAACTTGTAGAGATCTACTTTTAGATCATTCAGTTGATTTATCTTTTCATAAGTGAGTTTGCCTTTATCAGACAATAATGTCTTTACCTTGTCCAACAAGATACAACAAAATACAAGACACTGATGAAGAACATAAAATGAGCGAATTAAGTGGCGGTCAGTTTTACCAGCACTTTCATGTCTGTCTAGGGTACGCAATTGGGAACGCCAGTCGCCAAGAACAGTCACATATTTCTCAACATCTTCATTGTTTTTAGTAGTTCGATTTTCCTTGATTTTAAAACGTTCACGTTTCCCAATGATTGGATATTTATTCATCCTAAAAGCCTGGAAGAAGAACGGATAAAGAAAACATGAAGTCACACTTAAACACATATGACACAAATCGATATTTAAAGTGCTCACAAAAACCGCGTGCTCTCAAATAAACTCGTCTTTGAACGTTTACTGACAAGAATCAAAATGCTTTAAACAGAAGTGTAAAGTGCTTTCATGAAAATAGTACATTATAAATGATAACTTACGTTGGAAAATTTCCACGCTACAGAAGTATGCCAGGGCAGCAAAGATGAAAGGACAGAATAAATATAAAACTATATCACATTTACTATTACTCAAAAAATGATTGCCTTACACTGCATTGCAGCCAATCAGGTTGTGCTGCTTCAGGCGTCATCAAGGTTATAAAATAAACACAATGCGGTGCGGTGATTGGTCAAGAGCTTGAATAAGTCTCACTCAACACGAGGGAAATACATTAAACAATTTATCAAATCATTCTGCATTTGTGTAGCAGTTTACAATATCTTCTCGTTGTTTTTAAATAACCAGAATTTACCATTATCTTTTGGCTTATTTTGAAATCAACTGCTTTAGTCTACTAGGAACACTTCGAAAGAAAACGGTGAACGGTTTGATGTTAAAAACACTGTTAAAACTGATTACATCAAAAATTATCATTCCATTCAAAGTTTATAATAACATAAATAAAAAAATAAATATATCTTTACATACAAAAGTTTAAAGAAAGTTATTAATTATCAATTAGCTACACAAGATTTACACAAATATGTCCTTGAAAGTTTCCGTTTATGAAACAGAATGCGTTTTCAAGTGTTCGCATTTTACACTATTATATAGTGAATGGTTCTTTCTATACTAAGGCCCGTTTCACACGGCACATTTTACATGTGCCGAATGCATTCAAAACAAAAAAAAATTGAGACGAAATTCCTCGTTCTCTTTTGTTTTAAACGCATTCGGCTCATGTAAAATGCGAAAGTTATTTGTCAATTAGTTACGCAAGATGTAAACAAATATGTCCTTTAAAGTTTCCGTTTTTGAAACAAGATGCGTTTTCAAGTGCTTACATTTTACACTATTATATAGTGAATGGTTATTTTTACGATAATATAGTGAATGGTTCTTTCTAAACTTAGAACAGTTTTAAACGCGGCATTTTACACACGCCAAATGCATTCAAGACATAAAATTTGAGACGAATTTCCTTGTTCTCTTTTGTTTTAAATGCATTCGCCATTCGGCTCAGGTAAAATGCGACGTTTCAAAAACGCACCTGAAAATTGGCAACTAATACATTCAGATTTACATTTCTTCTTGTGTTGACTGAACATTCAACGCAAAATCATCCCACGCTTCCATGGAATATCCATATTCTCTTATCAAATCCAAGACATGAGGTAAAAACTTGAATTCCTCAATAAGAGTCTCTTGTATGGGATGACCCCTTCCATTCTTTTCTATTCCTGCCGTCACTTCTACAAGATTATGGTGAACATTTTGTTCACCATTGCTTACTTCATGTTCCCCATGTTCCAGCCTTCTCTTGTTGTTGGTTTTTTGCTAAGCTTGCAACCCATGTCTATGCTGGTATAAAATGAAGATAAAAAGTCTTTATTCACGGAACTTTTCCATGCAAGACTTAAAATATTCACAATTTTAATTTATTATTATTATACTGGGTGAAATAAAATAATTGTTTAAGATCTGCAATTTTATCTACATTTCTATGTCGTCAGTGTGACGTCCACACTGAAAATGATAATGAACATTGAGTGAACACAAAAAATTTGCATAAAAATTTGCTATTAGGAAATGCTTAGGTTGTCTGTAAGATAAAAATCAAATTTCAAACATTATCGATTAACTTTTAATTCCCAAAAGCGAAAAAAAAAGACAAACTTAGTTTAAAATGATCGGAAAACACGATCCAGCAGGAAAAATGCCGAAATGTATGAAACTTGTTTCATACTATCATTTGACGAAGCGTTGTTGAAATGTATGGTTCGGATCGTAAGTATAGCAAAATATTTTATTACCTAGTGTAAAATAAAATAGATAAGTCATATCTACCTTTTCTTTTAAAGCCAAGTTAGCCACGTAAAGAAATATACGAGAATCAAGTCAACTAGTCAAGTCTCCAGTGTTACACGCTTACAGTTTTACACTATGGTTTTGTGTAGACCTTTCAATATAGGAAAACGTGGATCCAGTGGATGTATATTGTTTAATGTGTAGTCGGGCTGTTGTATATCAACTGTTGGGAACACTGAAGAATGATACCGCTTTTATATCACTTCCATAGAGTTAAATGTAGATATGATCTTCGCACTTTGTTGGACAATTTAAGCAATTGTCTCATGAACCTGAAAAATTTAGGTGACGCAACGGGATTCGACCCCGTTGACTCAACGGGACTCAACGGGATTAGAACCCTGTTGAGTCACCTGAATTTTTCAGGTTCATGAGACAATTGCTTAAATTGTCCAACAAAGTGCGAAGATCATATCTTCATTTAATTTCAAACACCGCACTGCATAAAACATTCTTTCGTACTTCCATGGAGTGTTTGCTTAGCCAATAGGATTAAAGATCATAAACAATAACCTATTCTACATCATAAACCTATGCCAAATATGGTACTAGGGATCACGAAAAATAATATTTCTTGCAAATAATTGCCACCAACGTAAATACCAGGAACATCGGGTCATGTACTGAGGAATAAGGCTGCGTTTGCACAAAACCGGATTCGCTCATCAAGACATCTTCATTTGCTTTAAAGGTTAACTGTTTGGAGTAAAAGCTTATTAAGTTGATAAATTTAGTCTATTTGATTGTGTTTCTGACGTTGAACAATTTCACTTCCTTTTAATACAAAGAATATTCAACCTGCTGCGATAGCAACCCGGTATAGTGTGTAAACGGGGCCTAAAACGTCACAAAAATTTCTGAAGATCTCTTGAGTAAGACATATCATCACACGAAATCTGCATCACACATGGTGGACAAAAGTACATTTTATAACAATAGCAATAATATGGCTTTATGAACCATGGTGGACAAAAGTACATTTTATAACAATAGCAATGATATGGCTTTATGAACGGTTGCTGATTTGCATCAAGGAGATTGACTCGGTTAGAAAAGCAATGTAATTTCATGTTATCATTGGCGCTTTTAACGGCACGAATATTATATTGAACGTATGCTGGACAAGAGTACATTTTATGTGTTATTACAAGTTAATGTGTTACTGCTTATATGACACTTCTCTGGAGTGTTTCTTAACAGGGGCGGATTGAACTACGTCACTCTCAGCACGCGACGTAGTTAAATTATGCACAGCAGCGGAAAGCTCGTTTGTTCGACACAATGCAAAAACGCCACCTCATCCTAAAGTATTTCTAATTTAGCAGATCGTTTGTAGAACTTCGTCAAATGATAGTATGAAACAAGTTTCATCCATTTCGGCATTTTTCCTGCTGGATTGTTTTCCGATAATTTTAAACTAATTTTTTGATATCAAAAATAAACTGCAGTATATTCATTTCAATAAAATTATAAATAAAAGCAAAATCATTGACATACGGCTTTGTGACTAAAATTGTTTTGACTGCGAGGAAAACCTCCAAAGTTAGAGCAGACCCCGGGTTGTTTATTTGTTTGTTTTTTTTCGCTTTAGGAAACAAAATATTCGCAATTTTTTCTCAAATGAATATACGTAGGTCTAGTTCTAGTTTCGTTCCGTTCTAGTTTTATTTCATCACCGTGAAGTCAAGTTTATGTTTCCTGCTGTTATTCCAGCTGTGTGTACTCGTGAACTTATGCAATCATTATTCAATGTTATAAAAACTATTTAAGTAAATTTCTCAAATCACATTCTATTTTGTTTGTGTTTTGGGTTGGAACATTCCCACAGTTATACCCTTTTTATGCCCACATTATTCTCCTGTCATACCCCCGCTATACCCCTGTCATGCCCCCATCTTTCTCCTTTAATACCCCCCCTTAAAACGATTTGGGAATCGTTTATTCCCAAAAAACGATTTCCTGTTTTCGTTTGACAGTTCAAATTTTGTCATTAGAAAGACCTTTATATTCCCAACTCATTTGGAAACTTAACATTCATGTGCAATCGTTTGAATGTGATAGACTGCTGTTGCTACAAAAAAATCTTTGAAAAGTTGCCTTGTGATAATTACGTAATTATTTAACACAGCAATATTATTGCTGAAAAGAAAATTGCTTTGATAAACAACAGCAGATATTGTAGGCATATTTCACGTTTCTTAAATGTCTTTATTTTTGTTTTACTCTAAAAACCTCTTTCAAAGAGCATTTTTCGTTTTTGAAATAACTTTCTTTTAGCAAGGCCACATTGTGTGCTATAATTTATAAATATGTTCAATTACTGTGTTGGATGCCAATTTAGAGGCGTAATGTGTCTGAGTTAAGGTTGAAAAGCTGCTAAAAGTGTTGATTACATGGAAAGTCGAGTGAAACACAACCTCACAGTGATCTGGCTGCACTCATCTGGCTGGAAACATGGCCGCCGTTTAAAATACCCGGATTGTAGAACTCAAAACAGGGGACACGAACATCAAAGGTTCCGACCTCGAGTGGCGCTTGTGTACATTCCTTAATCTGTGACGGTAGGAAAAAAAATTAATGCAATCATGCGTAAAATTTGTAGTGTGATGCGAAAATTCTAATTTAGTTACTTTGCTATCAACCACATTTCAAGATTTTTAAGTCAGAGTTTACTGTCTTTTCAAGTTCAACTGTATCATTATTTGAAGCAGTTAAGCAGTTATTACGCGTTAGATAGTTTGAAAATCTGAAAAATTTTGCCAATTGCAACATGTAAATTATTACATTTTCTGTCGTTTTTCCTCTGCCATGGTGCCGTCCTTTCGTCTGATTTCGCGTTAGATTTCGCGTAGTATGAAAATCAGAAAAATTTATTCATAAATTTTTAGAGCATTGTAAATTTATGCTGAATATATAACCCAACTTAAGCTCAATGACAAATAAACAAGAAATTTCAAACATTCTGTATGATACACCATGTATAATAATAATAAACTTAAATTATTAGTGAGATGATTTAACAATGGTGGAGCAAAACATGAAAGTTATAAACAATACTGAAATTAGTGAATGTAAATCGTAACTCACACCAACCTTTTATTGAAGCAAAGTTAGCCACGAAGGTAAAAATGTACAAATCAAGTTGAATATCTCGTTTGCACGCTTTGAAAATTGAAATAGGTCTGAGACAATAAGAATCCCTTGCCTCTGTGTTAGTGGTCCTCTTCGGTACGTTCGCACGTTGTGTGACGTCACCTTGCAGTGTCCCGTCTTTGCTAACGCAGGAAGTACAACAGCTTCTCCCAACCAACCAATCAAAATCTCGAGGAATTATCAAACCAAGAAAAATCCTAAAAAGGAGTCGAACGGATTTCATCAAACTTTTATTAACATCTTGACTTTGGTGAAGATAACTCACAAAGGAGGCTCAAATGTACGAAACAAAATACATATACAATATGATACGATACATCATTGTTTCATAAAACTAGCCATATTTTCCTTTATGTTATTGTTTTCTCCATTCGTAATGTCGACATAATCATAAAGTTTTTGTCGTTTTGTGAGCTTTTGTACTTTTTAATACAGTTGACGTCATGATACACTTCCGCTTTTGAAATTTCAAATTTCTCGATTTCATTTGATGATATATAAAGTTAGAAAGGAGTATTAGAATTTTTCAACGAACTTCACTGACTGTATAAGTTCTGATAAACGTCAAAGGTGAACGTCGAGATTAAGTTAACATGAAATTTAAACTCAGAGCAGACAATGGAAAGCGACAGACAAACTATAGCATCGACAATCATAATTCATAACCAATTTTGATAAGATATTTTGACTCTTGTATCAATTATGATTCAAGTGACTTTTAACTTAAAACTTTCAAGGAAAATTTTCTCCGTAGGAAATTGTTAGCAATATGAAATTTAATGATCTTTCTAAATATGCTTTCATTTCAACGACTTGACATTTACAATAGTTTCACAATGACGAATGTCGTATTCAACACAAACTACACATTCAGAGCTGCAGTTTAACCAGAAGAGGGGACCTTCAAAAACTGCCTCGCGAAATACTGACAATGAAATATCTATTTCGGATCGTTGATAGAAAATAATTGATGTTTGTAATGTATAGGGTTTGAATAAAGTTTGAAGTTAAACTAATTGTTGTTCAAGACAACTGCAGGTAGTGTATGATAAAAATAAAACATAGCAAGTTTTAAAACAAACCACAATCATTTATGCTTCATCTTGTTCTTCTTCATCATCAGGATTATCATCATCACCATCAACTTCTGCATTTTGATGTTCAAGTTTTTCCAGTTCCTTTGCAAAGTCTGCTTCATCCATATCTGTGACAACCTTTGGCTGAACAGACAAAAATGATAATCAATGATAGAAATTTATAGCTTAAATTTATCATTTGAAATCAACAAATTTCTTGTATGAATGCAAAGTCATGGCAATAGGATTTACAAGTACATTTCAACCTCTAATCTTGATTGGCATGTATCTGACATAATGAGAAGAACTGACAAAATAAACACAAAAGTAGATTGCTAAGCTCTTGGTCAGTAATGATCAAGGTTAAAAATCTGTGGGTAAAGTGAAGGTTTGGATCAACAATTGACTTGTAATGTGCAAATCACACAATGACCTTCAAGGATGGTATGGGGAAGGTATGTGGATAATATGGTGATTGCATGAGGATGATATATAGTGATGGTACTAGGATATGGTATGATATGAGGATCACATGGTGGTAGTACAAAGATGATGTGGTGATGGTTTGAGGATGATATGGTATGATATGAGGCTCACATGGTGGTAGTACAAAGATGATGTGGTGATGGTTTGAGGATTATATGGTATGATATGAGGATCACATGGTGGTAGTACAAAGATGATGTGGTGATGGTTTGAGGATTATATGGTATGATATGAGGATCACATGGTGGTAGTACAAAGATGATGTGGTGATGGTTTGAGGATGATATGGTATGATATGAGGATCACATGGTGGTAGTACAAAGATGATGTGGTGATGGTTTGAGGATTATATGGTATGATATGAGGATCACATGGTGGTAGTACAAAGATGATGTGGTGATGGTTTGAGGATTATATGGTATGATATGAGGTTCACATGGTGGTAGTACGAAGATGGTATGAAGATGATAACAAGGTGTTAAGAGCATAATATGCACATGGATAAAATGATACAGAAATTGATAACAGAAAGTTTGAGGGACGGTACTATATACTTAGAACAAATGTACCTTTCTTGTTCATAATGACTTCTTTAATGGTTTTGATTGAAGTTTCCAAAGCTTTTAAACCTTCTTCTCAATTCATTGTTGTCGTTTTAACAACATAGGTTGGTGGTGAAATACGATTTATCTTAAAGAACAAGACAATTTATTCGTAAATAATCGCTGTGCTCTGTACAATCTTAATTTTAATTTTACAAACAAAATTTCCTAAACATACATACAAGAACATACAGAAAATAAACATTTGAACATATTTATTCATACTTGACACAAACCTTATGAGATCAAGCACAGAATGAATGTATTGCTTCTACTTTTTCTTCGTTTGGTTCAGTTTTTTTCACGTTAACATTTCCAAGTTTAACACAAATAACTAAAATACTTCCCAAAATGGCGGCTAAAATTGTTGTCATAAGACACGAACAACGAAATGCCACAGAGTGGATAACGTTTTATTTGCAATAAACAGAGAAAGACAAAGAAAATAAACTCATTTTCAGTTCATTTTCAATGTTACCAAGTCAGTTTTCATAAATTCAAAAATATAATGTTCATTCTCAGTTGTTTGTTGACTAGTTCACAGTCCTCTGACCGAGGGCAACGAATAATTATCATTGCTAAATGTTTAAAATTCTATATGATAAATTAAAATAGACAGAATCATTGAATATCAATCTAATAATAGAGCACACAAAGCAGAGAGATGCTAGGCGACCAAATTAATCAAAATATTGATATCGTTTGCAACACCCAAAAATATCTTTTTCCTAAAATAAAAATACAGAGAAAATCCCAATGCTCTCAAAAAATCCAAGATTTTCGGTTTCGATTTCAAAAGTTCGTAAAATTGTTTGCTCTGAAAGTAAGAACATATTCAATATTTAAGATCATCGACTAGTTATAAACTATTGAATAAGTCCAACTAAACAAGAGAGAAATGCTCAACACTCAACAAGAGAGAAATAAATTAAATAGTCCATTCAAATATTCTGCATGTGTATGACAGTGTACAATATCTTCTCGCTGTTTTTTAACAGTAACCAGAATTTACCATCATTATTTGGCTTGTTTTGAAATCAACTACTTAGGAACACTTCAAGAGAAAACGATGAACTATTACATCGAAAATTATCATTTCATTCAAAGTTAATAATGACATAAATAGAAAAATAAATATATATTTACATACAAAAGTTTAAAGAAAGTTATTAAATGGCTACATTAATTAATTGTCAATTAGCTACGCAAGATGTAAACAAATATGTCCTTGAAAGTTTCCGTTTTTGAAAAAGAATGCGTTTTGAAGAGTTCGCATTTTACATTATTATACAGTGCATGGTTATTTTTACGATAATAAATAATGAATGTGATACTTAAATATATTAATAGAGATAAATGACTTACATTTAATTGAAATGAGTATAGTAAAACTGTAAAACATATAAGGTGAGTGGTTATTTCTAAATATGAAGGTTCTAATTCATCAGGCCAAAGTCAATTTAAAGTTCTTCTGGTATGTAAGGCGAACAATTGAATTCTTCAATACGGCTCTCTGGTATGAGATAACCTCCAGTACCATTTCCCATTTCCGCTCTCACTTCTCCAAGACGATCTTGAAAGTTTTCCTCACCATTGCTTTGGTTATTTTGCTCATTTTCTGAACTTTTCGTGTTCTTCGAAGTTTCATCAGGCAAATTATCCATGGCTGTGTTTGTATAAAATCAAGATAAGAAGTCTTTATTCACGGAACTTTTTCATACAATACACTACTTTAAAAGTTAATTGATAATGTTTAAAATTTGATTTTAATCTTACAGACAACCAAAGTATTTGATACACGATCGGGTAACAAGTATAGGAAAGAGGGATTCTGAGACAAGTGGTGCTTTTAATTCGTTGCATTTGACAACAACTATTACCAGACGCAAATATAATCAAACATTTTTCTGGCCGAGTGAGCGCCTTGTTATATCAAATAAGTATTTTTGTAACATTCCCAAGAATCGAAAAATAAATAAAGCAGCGTAGACAATTTCATGCAAGTATGAACATAGCCCCCAACAGAAGTGAGAATAGATTCAAATAGACAATTGAATATTCCTATCCTCTTATGTCGTGAGGGCGTGGGCGCAAAATTTTGGAGTTAAATTTGAGATAATTTTCAACTGTATAAAAAAGGTATGAAACAAGATCAAAGCATGGCAGCTAAAATTAAAGAACATTCGATACATTCTGCATAAGGTCAAAATTCAGCAATTTAAAAATTTACATGATGTTAAACTGTATTGAACATAACGTCAGAAAAGCCTAAACTAGCTTGTACTGTCCATTAGAAATCCAAACCATGCAATTTTGTACAAATTCACTAACAACCTAAAAATGCAATAAGTATAAGCCTAAACTACTCTTTGAAAATTGAAAAAAACCGCAATTTTGTACAAATTCAGTAAGTATACTAATAATAAAACCAAAACCTATCTCGTAGCTTTAGTTAAATAAGGACTAACAAAATTTAGCTCAAGTAAAAGTATGTGTTCTCTTGTAAAAAAAGTACCTGTTCTTGAGAAACCACAAATAAGAAAAATAGAAATGAAAAATTGCTTTTATTCCTTGAGTCACTCATACACTTGTGGTCTTGTGCAAACTAACAAGCTATCAAGTATGTGAAGTATATTTTCGAGTCAAGAAGTATATGATGGGAAACATAATTCAGTAGAAAACAGCCAAAAGCGCGCATGATCTATTGTCTAGTGGTGTAAGTGGTCACGGTCAGGTGGTATCGAATAAAATATTCCATCGTATTATATTTTGCATGTGTTTATGCATGGACAACAATGCAAAATCTATATTGTGTTGTTTCTTGCCGCCTTTCAAAGTCAGTTGAGACGACTAAAGACGACATTTTGTTTGAGGAATTAAATACGGGCATCGAGGAGCATTCTGCCTCCGAAATTTTAGGAAAAATTGCTTTATTAAATCACAATGAAGGTGATATTGTTCAACATCCAGCGGCGTCAAGTCAAAAAACAAACTGAAAGATTGTATCGACTTAAATGGTACGAGATGGTTAATAAAATTTAGTATCATTGCAAAAATCTATCATCGGTTACTAGCGAAAAGCTGACAAGCAAGCCCATTGAAAATAACTGCACTGTCTCACAAATTTCTACCAACGTCGACCCAAACAAGATGAAGGATACCGGTTACTTATGCGGAAGGTTTTGTCAACAACATCACGACAAAGAAGACTTTCAAGCTAAAATTTTGTTGCTTTTTGTTAAAGGTAGCGTATCTATATCTATGTAATCTGAAAATAAAGTTGTTTAGTTGCATTTGAATGAAGCAAATGCTGATGTTCAATGTGCGATAGGCTTTGGTAAAGTTGGCAAAGATGCTTGCATAGACTGCGGTCAAGCATATGTTGTAGTTGCTTCTCACTGCAGCTTTTTGTCGTGTCAAAATACATGATACTTTTCCTTTTAATTTTATCTAAAATATTTGTCTGAATCATTTAATACATGGGAACATGCATGCTTCACTGAATTGGACTTTGTGTTTCATAAAATAACTCGATGTTTGTAATAGTTCAATTTCAAAGACTCGTGAAATAAAACAATTTCATTTTGTATGACAGTAATCTACCTTCAGTTATAATCAGGGCAAATAGCGATTTTTCTTGTATTGCCTGATTGCTATTGATTTGCATCTACAGCAGCTTTCTAAACAGGATGCTTCAAACTTTGATAACTTTTGCCATGGTTTTGAAACTACCATTTGGCACATTACACTTTAGTTGTACTGAGCATATGTAAGGTTTATGAAGGAAAGTCATGATGCTATGTAATAGGACGACTGCGTGTTAGCAAAAGCCATCTTAACACAAAATTACATAATTGTTTGCACATTTAACATTAGCATTTGCTTGTTTCAAATGCACATAAAGAACTTTATTTTCAGATTTAATGAACGTAGAAACACAGTCCACAACGAAAAGCAAATAATTTTTAGCAAGAAACCTTCCACAACGACAAGCGTAATTTCGTCCAATTTCGTGAGACATAGTGCTTTAGCCAATGATAGCTTTTGCAAAGTTATAATTATTACTCGTATAAGTCAAATTATTACAATCTCTTAGTTTGTTCTTTGCCACAAGTTGTTTAACAAAGTCTGTTTTTCGAAATTTTCAGATGCAGAAGACTCCTGAACCTTTGTATTCAAAAGAACTGTCGTCATAAATCGTCTTTATTGACTTGAAAAGGCAACAAGAAAAGATCACCGACTTTCGCTTAAGCACGGTTCAAACGTCGTGCTTTTCATGTGCCAAACCTAATTCATATTAGGTACGGCAAAGAACGACGTGGCTCGACGTCGATTCAAAAGTCAAACTTAATTTGTCGAATTTTGCGCATGATCACAACGAGCAAATTAACCTATTAATCTAGGGTCGCACGACACTTTTCTTACGTACGATTTAATATGCAAATAAGGGAATTAAGACACTTGCTGGGCTACTTACTGTTTATTCACCATTAAACTTATCCACGACATTTACATCATTAAACTTACTATAAATTTAGGGTCGCACGACGCTTTTCGTACGCGTTATTTACCAGATAGTTTGTGAAAATTCATTAAATGTTTCAATATTTTATAGCAGATGAAAAATACCTCAATTTCAATTATTGCATACAAAGTTTCTACGAGGCATAACGGTATATCATATAAGAAATACATCAAAACTTTTGCACAACAACTATTAAACAAGAAATTTAAAACATTCTGTTTAACACACCATGTATAACAACAATAAACTAAAACTATTACCACTCGCTTTAGTGAGGATCGATCGTCATTTAAGGTCGGAGATTTACATTCAATTGAAATTTATTTTCAACATGAGTCAAATAAAATAAATAAGCTTTCTTACCTCTCACAGCAACCTCTCTTCTGAAGTACAAATCTCATATACTTCACAAAATAGGTCTGACTCTGACGGATTACAATGAGAAATACTCTACAAGAGTATGCACCGATTCTTATTCGAAGTCTGTCGTGAAAATGGTTTGTGACGTAATGGTAAAATGGTAATGAAGCGGGAAATTCGGTTACATTTGAAGCGGGAAATTCGGTTACATTTGTTATGTAAATAAGGCATAAGAGCGCAATAAGAGGCAATAAAAATTTGGTTTTTCACAAATAGAAAATACGACATCGAAAAGTACATTTGTTCTAATTAGTTAATATTTCAATTATCATTATGTTCACGGCAAACTTGTACAAATTATAGATATTTATAGTTCATCAGGAATAAGAACATGACAAACTCTGCTTGTTTTATTCTTTTCTCTGACGCTGCAAAAAACAGCAGCTCATTAAACATACGTCAGTTGTATGATTTCAAATCTTTGATACATCATACAAGTGGGCAAAATGTCCAATGGACTCAAGTGATGTCCTTCTGATAATAGTTACACAGTCAAAGAAAGCAAACATGAGACAAACATTGTGTAAATGGTGTGAACACTTGCTTTGTTATTTTATTTTGTTTTGGAAACACATAACTTTTCTTCAATATGCAAAAGACATTGTTATGATATCACAATGCATAATTAGCTTTAGAAAAAACTAATTTTTGCTTAAAGTTAACATAAATTATTGTCAATGTCACATGGTCCTAATATTATTGATTTCAATGCATTGGGATGGTGTCATTGTAATTTTCAAATAAACAACTAATGATTGAATATGTCCGTCTTAATAAAGCATGGGGTACTTAAGGAAATGGTAACAGGATGATATGAGGACAGTAGAGGTACCAGGGGGATGTCATTTTAGTGATACAATATACTTTTCATAGAAATATAAACCAAACACTTACAGGTTGTTGTAAAACAAATGTTCCTTTCTTGTTCATAATGACTTCTTCAATGGCTTTGATAGATGTTTCCAAAGCTTTCAAACCTTCTTCTCGATTCATTGTTGTTGTCATGACAACATTGGTTGGTGGTGAAATGGGATTTATCTTAAAGAAGAAAACAGTTTACAATCAAACAGTGAAATTTTCAAAAGATTATTTATCATTGTATGGTATTTAGGCCTGGTGCAGCTGTTGTAAGATATAATTACATTGATGTGCACATTTGGTACATCTATAAATAATTAAATTTTGTTTTCGTGAACATCAAAATGTTCATCCTCATTGTGTTTATGTAGCAATATTGCAATTTGATGCATTTCAATGAGAATGATCTGTCATATACAGTGGTGTAAAACAAAGCTTCATGCTATTCTTGGTTCTTAAGGTTCATTTACCTTGACAACTCATTTATTGACAGTTGTCTTGTTGTACACAATGTTCAGTAGTATATATAATAATCATTCTACAATTGAAATCTTGACATAAACATATTTAAAAGTTAAAATGACATGATGAATATGAGGTATAGCTCTATTGGTTAAGAACAGTTCATGTACGACGTCAGATGATGTTAATGTTGATTCATAATGGTTTCAAAAAAGCTTGGCTGACTGATAATTATGCTAATAAACACATAACCCTGGCTGTCACATGTTACAATCGTAAACAAAATCTCAGCAAACTTTTGGCATAAATATAAAGCAGTTTTAAAATTCAAAAGGAGTAAAGATCTTTTTATAAAGTCTAACGATGATCAATGATTGCAGTACAATAGAACTTACCTAAATGAAGTCATAATATTAAACGTCGCTCGATTTTGAAATAGAAATACAAACAATTCGTTGTTGATGATGGCACAAAATATGTACAAAGATATAACGCAGATTGTTCAATCAGTTGCATTTTTCAATGCAAAATTTTCAAGAACCTCAAACGGTAATACTATACATACAGACGAGCAATTCTGTCATTCTGTCTGAGGATGACTTTGAAATAAAGTCAAAAATTTACAGTTCACTTCTCGTCTTGTTTCGATGCATATTTTGCAATCTCAAGATGTCTTGCTTCTTCAGAATTTGTTTTATACAAGTTTACAGTTTGAGTTTACATGACTGACTTTACCGATTCTCGGAAACATCCGGTGGAAACTATCGGTATTCGCCGATTATTATTCGATGTCTGTCGTAAAAATGGTCGTGACGTATTCAGTGACGTAATCAGTTTCCGGCCTATAGATGTGGGAAATTAGGATTTCATCTTTTATGTAAATGAGGGCATAAGAGCGCAACAAGATATGATAATAAGAATTTAATTTTTCACAAAAAGAAAATACGACATCGAAAAGTACATTTGTTCTAATTAGTTAATATTTCAATTATTATTATGTTCACGGCACACTTGTACAAATTATAGATATTTAAAGTTCTTCAGGAATTGAAGGAAGATGTAAATCATACAATTCAATAAGAAGTTTCAAATATAAAAGTACGAGTAAAATATTAAATATTCCAGTCTGATTCTTTCTGCTCCAGATTCCATCCCTTGATCCTCTGCAACACTCTCTGGAACGTTTTGTGAACGGGAATTATTTTTTCGTTTTGATGTACTTTCTCCAAGCTCTCGCGATTTTCCTCTCGTCCGTGTTTGATTAAAGTTAGCTCTGGATTTTTTCACCGTTTTCGCTCCTTTCCTTATTTTTGTATTACAAAATCACAGTTTTCGCGTTTTTATTCCTTTTACAAACTTCTGATTAAGGCAGAATTTTTATAACCAGTAGAGAGTTTTAACCCTGAAGCTCTGTTTTTTTGGCCTTGGTAACGACTGAAAAATAAGATGGAAAGTTGTACTGATAAGCATCGGTGGAAAAAATGTACCACTATAGTTTGTATCACACGCCCACGGTGTTTCAAATCCTTTTATAAAAATTCTAACATCCTGTCTATTTGTACCAATTGATTAAACGGACACTAAATGCGATTAACGGATTAAATGTATCACAACGGACACTAATAGCCATACGTAAAATACCACGAACATCGGGTCATGTATTAAGGAATAAGGCTGCGTTTACGCTATACCAGATTCGCTCATCACGACATCTTCATTTGCTTTAAAGGGTTAACTGTTCGGAGTATAAGCTTATTAATTTTAGCATGTCAATTAATTTTCGTTTTAAAATATGTACGTATGTGTAATGTGATGGCCAAGAAAAGTACCGAACTGAGAGTGTTGTAGAGCTTATTATGGAAGAGTATGTATCAATTTGATTACCGCTACATGATTTCGGAATAGACTGACACGCACAACTATAAATATTTCGGCTTCATAGATACTGCACCACTAAGTCCACAAGAGTTTTAGACGAATTATAAATTTCATCACGACAACTCAACTAATGAACTAACAGGAAGTTTTGCTTTGACATGTTAAACTAATTTAATCATCACTCTGCTGACTCTGCTCATTTATAGAAAAATATTTCGTTCGATTTATCGGTGAAGGACGAAGATTTTACTCTTCACAAAGCGTTTGGACGACAAATGACGATAGAGTATTTATTTAATAAAACGGTTTCATTCAAAATAGCAATGAATTTTATGTTAAATTTGCGAGGACGTCTTAATAATCGTGGCAAAAAAAGCATCGGAAGTGGATATACTAATGATCGCTCGAGCTTTCTGCCGGCTTTCCAAGCGCGTGACACTTATATAGCAGTGCATTTTCATATCTTAAGGAACAAACATTACAGTTTGCGAAAGACATGGACTTATACGCCCAATAAGACTTATTCCTCTTTGTTTAATGTAACGTGTAATCAGTCCTACACAACAAGCTTGGTGTGTTAACTGTATCCACACAAAAAATATTAAAAAAATGACCAATCTATAGCAAATGACCAATATACATCAAAGGCTCCGACCATTGTTCCCACATCGAGTGGCCGTTCATTCTTTATTCTTCATTCTTTATTCTCTGACGTATTGCAACATGTAAATTATTTCATGTTGTATCGTTTTTCCTCTGCCATGGTGCCGTCCTTTCGTCTGACTTAAATCATAGTTTACTGTCGTTTCTAGTTCAACTGTATCCTTACTTGAAGCGGTTAAGCAGTTATTACGCGTTAGATAGTTTGAAAATCTGAAAAAATTTGCCAATTGCAACATGTAAATTATTACATTTTCTGTCGTTTTCCTCTGCCATGGTGCCGTCCTTTCGTCTGATTTAAGTCAGAGTTTACTGTCGTTTCTAGTTCAACTGTATCCTTACTTGAAGCGGTTAAGCAGTTATTACGCGTTAGATAGTTTGAAAATCTGAAAAATTTTGCCAATTGCAACATGTAAATTATTACATTTTCTGTCGTTTTTCCTCTGCCATGGTGCCGTCCTTTCGTCTGATTTAAGTCAGAGTTTACTGTCGCTTCTAGTTCAACTGTATCCTTATTTGAAGCGGTTAAGCAGTTATTACGCGTTAGATAGTTTGAAAATCTGACATTTATTCATAATTTTTTGGAGCATTGTAAATTTATTCTGAATTATAACTGAAGTTTAGCTCAATGGCAAATAAACAAGAAATTTCAAACATTCTGTATGATACACCATGTATAATAATAATAAACTTAAATTATTAGTGAGATGATTTAACGATGGTGGAGCAAAACATGAAAGTTATAAACAACACTGAAATTAGTGAAATGTAAATCGTAACTCTTACACCAACCTCTTTTACTGAAGCCAAGTTAGCCACGAAGGTAAAAATGTACAAATCAAGTTGAAAGTTTCGTTTGCACGCTTTGAAAATTGAGATAGATCTGAGACATTAAGAATCACCTCTGTGTTAGTCGTTCGTCGTCTTAGTTCGTTTGCACGTTTCGTTGAGTGTAACTTGTTTTGCCAACGTCGGAAGTACAACAGTTTCCCCCAACTAACCAATCAAAATCTCGAGGAATTATCAACCAATGAAAATCCTAAAAAGGAGTCGAACGCATGATGACATCATACTTTCATTCACATCTTGACTTTGGTGAAGAAAACATCTCTCAAAGGAGGCTCAAATGTACGAGAGACGAAATACATATACGATACGATACATCATTGTTTTATAAAACTAGCCATATTTTCCTTTATGTTATTGTTTTCTACATTCGCAATGTTGACATAATCATAAAGTTTTTGTCGTTTTGTGAGCTTTTGTACTTTTTAATACAGTTAACGTCATAATACACTTCCGCGTTTGAAATTTCAAATATTCTCGATTTCATTTGATGATATATAAAGTTAGAAAGGAGTATTAGAATTTTTCAACGAACCTCACAGACTGTATAAGTTCTGATAAACAACAAAGGTGAACGTCAAAATTAAGTTAAGATGAAATTTAAACTCAGGGTCAGACAATGGAAAGCGACAGACAAACTAAAGCATCGACAGTCATAATTCATAACCAATTTTGATAAGATAGTTTGAATCTTGGATCAATTATGATTAAAAGTCCAAGGAAAGTTTTCGCCCGTAGGAAATTGTTAGCAATATGAAATTTAACGATCTCCTTTCTAAATATGCTTTCATTTCAACGATTTGGCATTTACAATAGTTTCACGATGACGAATGTCCTATTCATCACAAACTACAAATTCAGAGCTGCAGTTTAACCCGAACAGGGAACTTCAAAACTGCCTCACGAAATACTGACAATGAAATATCTATTTCAGATCGTCAAACGAAAATAATTCATGTTTGTAATGTATAGGGTTTGAATGGAGTTTGAAGTTAAACAAATTGTTGTTCAAGGCAACCGCAGGTCGTGTATGATAAAAATAAAACACAGAAAGTTTTAGAACAAACCACAATCATTTTTGCTTCATCTTGTTCTTCATCATCATCAGGATTATCATCATCACCATCAACTTCTGCATTTGGAAGTTCAAGTTTTTCTAGTTCCTTTGCAAAGTCTGCTTCATCCATATCTGTGACAATCTTTGGCTAAACAGATAAAAATGATAATCAATGGTAGAAATGTATAGCTTAAATTTATCATTTGAAATCAACAAATTTCTTGCATGAATGCAAAGGCATGGCAATAGGATTTACAAGTACATTTCAACCCCTAATCTTGATTGGCATGTATCTGACATAATGAGAAGAACTGACAAAATAAACACAAAAGTAGATTGCTAAGCTCTTGGTCAGTAATGATCAAGGTTAAAAATCTGTGGGTAAAGTGAAGGTTTGAGTCAACAATGGACTTGTAATGTGCCAATTTATCGCACACTAATCGACAGAGCATACAAACTTAACAATACAAACAATGGCTTTTAACGAGACATAAAAAAAACATTTACGAAACTCTTTCCCACTACACTTTATTAACAGAACCGTAAAACGATATCTCGACAACAAACAAAGCAACAACCTCAAACTAGACACCGAAACTCCTGACACGACGATTACAACCAACACAAATGAAAATTCAAAAATAACAACTCTATACTTCAAACTACGATACATCGGACATTACTCACGACACACACAACGCAGACTTACAAACATTATGAAATGCTTCTGTACAGATATTGACATTCGACTAATTTTCACAACATTCAAAATCAAAAACCTTTTCTCATTCAAAGACCCAATCCCTGATTCAATTAAATCTATGGTGGTATAAGAATTTAATTGCGCGGGATGTAATTCCCGATACATTGGCGACTCAAGAAAAACTTTAAATCATCGTCAACTTCAACGTAAAGTGGTATTCATAGAAAGAAACAGATTATGTAAATTTTGTATTATAAATACATTTGTATAAAACTCAAGAAAATATTTTGTTTTAACCACTCAATAATCGTTCAAAAACAACCATACTTGTTATCTACTAATGAAAAATGTGTAAAAATTTGTAAGTTTTTGTAAATCTATTTCGTAATGATCTGTATTTTTATTTATGTCGTTATTGATTTTTATTTTTTCAGTGCTATTATCAACTCATTCCAACACAATTGTTTCAAAACAAGCTAATAATGATAGTGTTATTTCATAGCC